GGGGAAGCAGGAACTCCGGAGTTTTCCTCCTCAGAAAGGCTCGGGTTAGCCTTGAGGAGGAGAACTTGTCACTTCCCAAATCCTGGGAGACCACCCCCCATCCTCCCTGTCCCCTCCCACCATGTCCCATAGGATGGAACAACATTCTCCTGGCTGCAGGGATGTGCCAGAAAGAAAAAAAAAACAAAACAAAACAAAACAAAAAAAACCAGCCCAAAAAACCCCATATAAACAGACATCATTTCAGCTGCAATGCTGCCTGGGAAGGCACCTGTGGAATCCTGTGTCAGAGCCTCCACTGAAACCTCCTGCTGCTGCTGCTGCCAGGAATCTGGAAAGCCAGATTTTAGAGGATGCCTTTGGAATAATCAGCTCCCTGCTTGGCCAGGAGATGTTTATCCTGAACTAGGAAACACCAGCAATGAGACAAAAGCCCCCGAGGCTGCTCGAGCTTAAAAGAGCACAGGCTTGGTTCGAGTCTTGGACGAAGTGTGACATCCTGGGGCTTTCCCAAAAAAAAAAAAAAATAAATAAAGCCCCAGGGTAAAGCAGGAAGCTGGAGAGCAACTAATAATGAAAGACGAGGCTGAGAGAATAACGAGCAAGGCACAAAAATTCCACAGCTTGAGTTAGTGAAGCACTGGGAGCTGAGAACATCCCTGCAGCTCCAAGGGACAGCTCAGCTCCCTCTCATTCCTGCCCTGCCTTTCCCGAGCCCATTCCTGGAGCAGGATGCTGGGATTGTGTGGCTGGAAAGAGACCCCGGAGCTGATTTCAAAGCATTTCCTTGCTCTTTCCAAGACAGGCAGCTGCACTCGTGTGCTCCCAGCAATTCCCAGCTGCGGCTCCTAATTCCCAAAAACAAAAAGTTATGGAAAAGCAGGGACTGTGAAAAACATCCAGGAAACAGCAGGAAGCACTCCCACTGCTCCCCTGCTAAAGTCTCACCACAAATCCGACTTTTCCGGGTGGGAAAGCCGCGCGAAGGCAGAGCCGAGGGTGCCGGGAAGGGCTGGAATTCCAGCGGAGGGGCTGGAGAGGGGGAAATCGGAGGAGCAGCCCCATTCCCTCCCTGCTCCGGCCTCCACGTGCTCCTCCCGCACCACCGGCGTCTCAAAGTCCGCAAAAAATTCCAAACCTCCCCAAAACCAAACCCGAACAAAGCCCCAACCCACCCACCACCGGGACCGGGAGCTCGGCACCGGGAATTCGGCAGCGGGGGCTCACTCGGCACCGGGAATTCGGCACCGGGGGCTCACTCAGCACCGGGAATTCGGCACCGGGGGCTCACTCAGCACCGGGAATTCGGCACCGGGGGCTCACTCGGCACCGGGGGGCTCAGCACCGGTGAAGCCTCACCGGCCCCGACCTCGCGGGGCGGCCACCAGCGGGCCCGTGCGGTGCCGTGCGGCCGGCTCACCTTCTCCTCGACGCAGTTGACGATGATGGAGGGGTACTTGCGGCTGAGCCAGCGGAAGAAGGCCGGGACCCCCATGGCGGCAGCGGGACGCGCCGCGCCGAGCGGGACCCGCGGCACTTCCGGGGTCGAGGGGCGGCGCGGGGCACGCCGGGAAATGGTGGGCGGGGCCTCGCGGTCACGTGGGGAGCGTGCGCGTGCGCGGCGCCGCCGCCGCCGCCATCTTGGGTGCGGGCTGAGGGGAAGCGAGCGGCGTGAGGGGAGTGAGGGGACAGCCCCCCCCCAAAAACGTGTCTGAGCAGCTCCTGGGGCACGAAAAGGACGCCCAGAGGAGAAAAGCAAAGCCTGAGGGCACCAAAGTGATAGCCAGGAGGAAAAGCGGAGCCTGAGGTAAGGCTAACTGCTGTGACAGCCCCACTGCCCTCACGCTCAGCCGAGACACAAAGTGTGACAACTTCCCCTCAAAAAAAAAAAAAAAAGCCATAAACAAGTAGTTTAACGGGAGAATCACCCTGCCTTAGCACCTTGTTAAAAAGCAAGCGTGAGGTGCTGGCTGCGAGGTGCTTTAGGCTACACACACACAAGGCAGTGTTGCCCAACAAGTCAATAATTAAAGAGAGACACTGATGATTTATTTCAGCACTGCATGAGCTGCGTGCTCAGTGTATTCCCGAAATCAAGCGCGGCCACCACACTTCCAACACCGTCATTTATACTCAGAAATCCAGGGTTGGCAATTTCCCAAGCGCAGCCCCTTTTCTAGGATACATCGGTGTAACCCCGGCCAACTCTGCCACATGCTCAGGGGAAAGCTCTGCACCTCTTTTTGACCTGTTAAACGTGAGTTTTAGTGTTACGACAAACGCAGTTCAGCTATGGGATGCACGGAATTTGGGTGCTCTGCCACCTTAGGAATGTACGCGTGGGCATCGACGTCTAGATTTACTACATCCTTCAAGCTTGGGAATTCCGGGGGTGTCCTTGAGGAAGGGATGCACCAATGCGTTCTCCGCGTGAAAGTGTGCAAAGATCTCCCGTTACGGTCCATCCCGACTTCAGACAATTTCGATTTATCCCGCATTTGGCAACAGCGGGAGCTGCTCCGTGCCCTCCGAGGGGACATTTCCAGCGGGGGAATGGCTCCACGTGGCTCCCGAGAGCGGCACGAGGCGAGGAGCCCGTGGCATAAGGCAAACAATCGTTAATTTGTGTCCACGGTGGGGAATTAAAAGGGGATTAGCACGGGGCGGTTTTTGCTCCGCCGTGTCCCGCACAGCGCCGAGGCCGGGGAGCGGCGGCCCGCCGGTCATTAACAAAAATGACAAAAATCTCTGCGGTGCTTGCTCAGTCAACGCCGCCCATCTGGGGAGCGGAGGGGAACTTTGGTACCTGGCTAATTCTCTGTAGAACAAATTAACCCGGTGTTGTGTCTCTCATTATTCTTATCCTCACTCGGCCGCCAGTTAAGCCGTTTTCTGTTGTCGTTCCTCTCAAATAAAATCTGTGACTTGAATAAATTTCCCCCGCAACTTTGTAGTGGCACCACACCTGCGGTATCAGCCGAAGATTGTCCTTTATCTGTTCCTTACGATTGAAGCTTCCTATTGTAGAGCTTCTCCTCCCGGAATTTTGTAGGGAGCACAGCAGCTTAGCGCGAACATTTTGTTTTGCGACGATGGGCGATCAGTTGTTTTCCTGATAATGCCGAAGAAAACAGAAGGCTGGCGGACGCAAACGAAACGCGATCGTCTTATCTTATAATTGCTTGGGTAAACAAGGGCTGGGAAAATTAACGCTGCAGCAAATTCCTGGGGAAGTTGGTGTGAGCACAGGCAGCCGGGCTGGGCCGTGAGCCCGGCCGTGAGCGCAGCAAGAGCAGGGCAGGAGCGGCGAGCCGGTGGCAAATCCGTGCGGGCTGCCTTGGCTGCGGTCCCCGCTGTCCGTCAGCGTCACCTGCCAGCACTGCCGGCGTGACAGCTGTGAAGGAGCACGGGCACGCTGACTGGCAGGACGTGTCGCAGCTAATGAGTCGCTGCACAATGCGGGTGTCACAAATAGCGCTGCGGCTATGGACGGCGAGAGGCAGAGATCGCCTGCGCGGCTCCGCTGCCATCTGTCACCTGTCACGGGCCGCTGTCGGGGCCGAGCCGGACCGCGGTGGCACAAAGCCCCACAGGCCGGTGTCATGCGGCAGACAGAACGCGGGCTGACATCAGCAGCTCGGGAGGAGCTCAGCGCGGGCTGCTGGGTTTTTCCAACTGGGGCTGCTCCTCCCAGGCCTCCCGTGCCCACGCCACTGCACAGGGCTCTCTCGGCAGGCAGCAGTCCCACAGGACATGGGTAAAAAGGACGTTAAAGTCCGGCTTTAGTCTCAGAATCACGGGCTTGGAAGAGACCGTCAATATGATCGAGTCCAACTCAGCCCTAACACCACCTCGAATAAACCAGTGCCACATCCAGTGATTTGTTAAACACATCCGGGGATGGTGACTCCACTACCTCCCTGGGCAGACTATCCAGTACTTTATCACTCCTTCCACAAAAAACTTTTCCCTAACATCCAACCTATATTTCCCCTTGCCACAGCTTAACACTGTGTCCTCTTGTTCTGTCAGTTGCTGCAGTCCTTTGGTCGAGCCCTGCAGTCTCCCAGGATGCCAGCCCTGGTGACACACTCACCCAGCCAGCTCCATCCTTGGTGCAGATTTCCCAGTTCCCAGAACATTCCAGGCTGCACCCTCACCGATGGCAGACTGAAACCCACAGCAGCCGGCTGTGCCAAGGGTTCCTGCTCAGTTCCAAGCCTTCTGCAAGTCATTCCCTGCTGCTGAGCTCTCAGCCTACGTGTTCCCCTTATTAAACTGAATGCTGTTCCCATTTCTAGCGGGGTTTTGAGGGGTGCCCCTGTTGGGAGACGTGGGGCTGCAGAACAGCACAGCACAGCTTAATTGGGGTGCTGCTTTCTGCTTTTGAACTTGTCATCATTTATGAACAGCTTTAACATGTCCCCTGGTTTCTCCCTCCCAAAGAAAAATCTCATGTTTAATGAACTTAATTTCAGATAAAAGGAATGTAAAGAAGAAAATTAAAAATGCATGAAGCTCTTGGAGTCATCCAATTACTGTGATGTCCACACAGCAATGCCAGCACGGATTTCACAAAGCAAGGAAAAGCAGGAAAGCACTGGGGCTCGCCACATGTAAATGCTGCTCTGTTCCAAAATGTGCTGAATTACAAATGGACATTTTATGCATTTCTTCCTCTTGATCTGTTGCAGAAGAAGATAAAGATCAAACATGCCAGCCCACCCCAGCAGCGCCTGTCTGCATACCCACAATGCTTGTCTGCTTCTTCCCAAAGCCCGTCTAGCACTGCAGTCCCAACGTTGGGATGCCACAAGGCTTGGGAGGGCACTGTCACGGGGCAGCGTTCCTGTCAGAGAGAGCACACAGACAATGCCTAGGACCCATCGTGTTTATTTGGTATTTACATTTCCTTTGCCAATAAAGTGACGAGCGGCGCTTCAGCCCGTGGCACGCTCACTGTGTAAAAAAAAAAACCAGCTTGTTTCTTCCCACACCGCTTGTTTCTTCCCACACCGCTTGTTTCTGCCCTCCCAAAAGCCAGCGGGACAATCTCAGTCATAGAAGTCATCGAAGTCATCCGAGTCTGCGCCGTGGGTCTGCGGGCGCAGGGCAGCCTCCAGCTCGGAGCTGCTCTCCTCAGATTCGCCCCAGAACGCTGCGGGAGAGGACACGAAGCAGAAGGGTGAGACCTTCGCCGTGGCCGTGCCGTTTGTCACAGCCACGAGCACGGGACAGCGCTCCGAGGGCTGGCAGCTGGCATCACCTGGGAGCCCAGGTGTGCGGTGGCCGGCGGCTGTGCCGACAGCAGCCCCATTCAGAGCTCCATTCCCACTCCATTGTGCCGCAAGGTAGCCGGGCAGAACATTTGCACTCCAAGCAATTTACTTGACCAGCTGCTGCCTGAATCGCAGCTTTGTCTATTCTCTTGCCCTTTCTCCCCGCTACTTGACCCTGCGGTGAAGTCACCAGCGGGCCGTGACATCACAGAGTTGGCACAAAAACAGCAATGATGTCACAAGTGAAAAATCACCACTTTGAGATCAGATCAGAGCAGGTCCAGGCAGGCCTGATCTCAGTGGAGCCCACGGCTTTAACCTCGGGCTCTGGGAACCAGCAAACCCTCTCACTGACAGCAGCAGAATGCCAGGCAGCTCAGAGTGCCTGAGAGATTTCTGGAGATAGGAATTCTTTTGACCCATGGATAGGACAGAGCGGGAAGAGTGGCACGTGAAGTCAGGGCCACAGTGGCTGACAGAGCCATGCTCTCTGTTCTCAGCCATTCCAGAGGCTGCTGGCTGTCCAGAGGCAGCTGGGATGAGGGCCAGGGCTCAGCCAGGGGCAGTGGCACGAAGACGTGTGTCACACACAGCCACGGTGGCTCGCGTTTGAGGCACTTTGGTGCCTCTGACGGCACCAGCTGCACGAACACCTTATCTACAAATGCAGCAGCTGCATCTTTCATCCTCCCTCCCCGGCCCCCTGGGCTGCAGGGCTGTGCTCCACCGGGAACATCAGAGCCAGCCCCATGCTGAACGGGTCCGAGACAGCAAAGGCGACGCCAGAGCCTTTCAAGTGCCACCAAAGCAGCCATCCTTGATGGCATCCCTACCTCAGTTCAACGCCACACGGCTAAACCTGGGCATTCCGGAGTGCCAGCGCCCAGAGCAGGGCTCCAGCTGGACAGATCCTGGCTCCCAGGGCTGCCGGGAGGCTCCATCAGAGGCGGCTGCAGGCCCCGGTGGGCCTTGCAGGGGGCACAGGGGGAGCTGGAATGTGTGGGCAGCAAAAACATGCAGGGCCCAGGCACTGATTCAGAACAAAACCAGCCTGGCCATGCACTAAACCATCCCAGGACCCAGGGCAGACCACGGAACCCACAGGTTTCTCCTGCTCCAGGTTCCCTCCACCTGCTGGTCACTGGCATTTGGTTAAAGCCTGCAAAGATCCCAACCCCACAAACACCTCCTCTCTGCCCTGGCTCTGTCCTCCTCAGCTCCTTGCTGGCTCCCACAGGACACAGGGAAATCCCATGCTTCCCCATTTCTGGACTTTATACAGGCCATAACATTGTTCTGGGAGGGCTTCTACGGTATAAATTTAACTAGAAAGACACTTAATTGAATTTGTCTCTTACCTTTGGATTTTATGGCAGCTATCGCCTCCTTCCGCAATTCAGTCCTGTAAAACATTTCAAACAATCAGCACAATGTCTCCAATTAGAAAAACATTAAGCAACTTTTTAAAAAATACTGTGATATGGTTTAAAAGAACAACAACCCGGTAACTTCTGTAACTATTTTTTCCCCCAAATAACTATTTAATCACGGACTTCTTCACCTGAAAGGTGGAGAAATTCATGCACAGGAGGGACGCTGTTCCAGCTGTTCCTGGAGTCACTCCCCGGTAACAGCACCGATTTACACCAGCACTGAGTTAGGGTACAGAGGAGCAGGGTCCTGCCGAGCTGCTGGGAAAGGCAAAATCCAAACAAAACCAAATCCTCGCCACTGCTGCTGCCTGTACTTCCTCCGTCCCCAGCCCCATGGCAATGTGCAATCCCCGCCGCCTTTGATCTACCTTGATGTGTGTGCAGCCCGAGCCTGCTCTGCTAAATGGCTGCTCTTGTGTCTGGAGCATCACAGGCCCTTTTGAATCTCTCAAACAAGCTGGAATCATTTTGATCTTTTGTTGTGCAGCGCGTGCATTGTGTTGGGGCTGGGCAATAATCGAACGGGGGCAAACACGGGGGAGAATTAACTGTTAAGGCAGCAGCGGTGCTGCAAGAAGCTCCAAAAACAAAGCTTCAGCTGATTTTAATAAGGAAGATCAAATAGGAGATATTTGGGATATTACTGGGCCAACCACTGAAATGTAAGCCGGTGTCAAGGTGCAGTTGGAAGCTGTGGCCTCAGTCACAACAGGACTCTATGAAATGTCTGATTTGCTGTGTTTCATTTAAAAACGTGGCAGCCAATACAGACAGAAGTGTCTTAAGTGGGGAGCTGCAAATATTCCACTATTGTGGAGGCGTTTGTGAAGGAGACAAAAAAAAAGCAGGGATGGGTCCTCGCTTGCTTACCCTCAGTGTTCAGTCAGAATTTGGGATTGCAGCTGGAAAGCCACATGTAAAGATTCACACATTGCAGCTAGCAGTGGTGCAGCCACTCTTCCTTTTAACCCACAGAAAGCTCCCACTGTTTAAATCCCGTTTCCTCTCCAAAGAGCAATTCCCAGAATATTAAACACAGCCCAGGTTCCACCAAGGCGCCGAACCAAGTGAGAGCTCTAGCAGAGTGCTGACAGTGATGTAACTCGTTATGACCTTACTCAGTAAAAAACTTTAAACTGGTGGGCTTCAAAGGTTTCTGCAGCATTCCTTTAGTGCACCATCCCACTGCCTTTCCCTTTTATTCCAAGCAAAACTCCACACTGCCTCGTACTCTCACTTCCCCTTCAAAGGCCTTCACTCGACAGGATACCCAGAGAGGATTTGAAGCCAGAGCCTCTGAGCTGATAATGGTGAACATCCCGAGCTCCTGCTCCCTTTGGCCAGATCTCCTGGCCCTCAGCACCTCCCAGGAGATGCTCCACGCATCCGAGGCTCAGCCCATAAGAGGCTGCACTGTTTTCCCCGGGGTGTGGAGCAGGAAACCACTTGTTGCCGAGCTGCAGCTGGCGAGGTTCCTCCTGTGGATGCTGGCACAGGAACCATTTCAAGCAGCTGAGGAGGAGATCAGGGGGGCAGCAGCCATCGCTTCCCTCAGCCACATCCCGGCCTGCTGCTGGGAAGGGAGCGTGGGCTTCCTGGGATTTTCAGTTAGCTTCTCAGCAAAGCCATTTGACAAGTGAGTTTTTGTCACTTCTGTCCCACTTCTCTCCGTGGTCCAACCCCACGACAAACACCAGCGGGTCGGTGCTTTGGGTCCAGCGCTGAGGATCACCAGGGAGGGCTGCCCACGTCTCCAGGGCTTGTTCCTCCAGATCCAGCTGAAGGATCCGTGGAGAAAGGACCACCGTGGCTGTAGGAACGTCTGCAGACCTTCCCACTGCCACCCCAGCTTCCCACGAAGAGGAAGGTCAGAGCTGGCAGGAGAGCAGGGAGAGAGATGTTTGTGTTCTTCCGAGCACCATCCATTCCCTGGGGTTCATCTTCTGGGGCTGGCCAGGTGTGGGATGGGGTTCACTCCCCAAAGAGCCTGGAGCCAGAGCCAAGCACAGCCATGCCCAGAGAAGGGAGATGGGGACAGGCTGGCAGCAGAGGCTGGCCAGGACATCTGAAAGGCTGGACAGCAGCTCCCCCAGCAAAGGCCAGGGTGAGGAATGAGTGCAGCACTGGGGGATGGATGCCAGGGTGAGGAATGAGTGCAGCACTGGGGGATCAATGCCAGGGTGAGGAATGAGTGCAGCACTGGAGGATGCAGCAGCAGCTCGGCCGTGGCAGCGCTGGCCTGGTGGCCGCAGCACACAATGGGCACAGACCTCCACCGAGACATTTTCGGGCTGTAAATGGAGCCAGGCCGGGTCCAGCACCTCCTAATCCCCTGTCGTGACCCTCCAATACCCATTTACACATTTGCTTCTTCCCTAAAATAATTCCAAACTGAACCCGGGCTCTGACAAAGGGCAAACCCAAACCGGTTTCACTTCAAAGAGCCTTTTAATCTCTCAATTTCTCTGATGAAACGGGCTTTTTGTACTGAAGATGCTGCAACAGTAAGGAATGAAAAAGCTCCAAGAAAATATTTTTTTCCTCTATAAAGAAAAGTAATATTAAGAGGAAATGGCCAGCACAACAAGAGCCAAGTTAACCAAGGGGGCTTGATGGAAGACAGCAGAAAACGTTTACTGTGGCCTGAGGGTTTTCTTGCCAAAGCACCTGTTGAACTCCTATGTTCTAGTGCCAAGCAAAAAACACACTCCAAAAATTGGGGAAATCCTAAATGCCAAGGGATTTTCCCACCCTGGAAAACCAAGTACCTACAGTACATAATCTGCACAGTGTCACATAGGCAGTGTAAACTGAAAAGTCCATTCATCATGCCAGAGCTGGAGTAATAACACTGAATTTCAGTAATTACACTGCGAGTAGGACCACCCTTATTTTAGGATACAAAGATTCCTGTCGAGCTGCGTCTCAGACTGGTCTCTGTTTGGATTCACCACGCTGGAGGGAAAAAAAACCCCAGTGACACAAAGATGCATCACAGTGCTGTGAGGAAGCTGCGCAGGAGAGCAGGGGCAGTGCCAAAAAATCCTCTGTTCCCTCTGTGCTCGGCCGGCAGATGTTGGTGCCTCTCCCCACAAACCTGGCAGGGCACCCACCCCAACAGCTCCGCTTCTGCAACAGCTGGGGGAGCAGACAGAGGAAACAAAGCTCCCACAAACCGCTGGGACGGCACAGAACCCTGCTGGAATTTTCAGCCGGCTTCTTACAGAAGCCGTTTGACGACTGGGAGCGCATCGGGGGGATACCAGCATGGAGGATCCCGCCTTGTTTCTGGGTGCACCTCCCAGGAAGCCAGCCCGAGGCCACGGCACTTTTCCTGGCTTTCCAAGGGAAATGCGTTTGGGCACATCCCGGGCGCTGCCAGCCCCCAAGCTCTGGGACGTCTCCTCCGAGCACAGCAGAGTTGTCGCCGCGGGACTGGTTTGGGAAAGGGGGGAGCGGGGGATGCGCAGAGCCCGAGTGCCCCCCGATGGCCAAAGCACACGGGCACAGGGACGATTAAGAGATGAATTCGACTCTGCCAACTTCTATTTGCATGTCACTACGGCTGTGTCGGCAACGGGGCTGAAAGGCGGCCTTCAGAGACCCCCCCCAGCGTCCTTCCAGCCGATTAATTAAAGTTTGAAATACTTTACACCGTGTTGGTGTCCTGACAAATCCAAAGCGGGCTTTGGTTCCCAGCTGATAACGCACCTTTAATCTCCAGATTATTTGGGAACGAGACAGCACGAACAAGTCAAAGGAACAGAAGACGCCTGCCTCGGAAACGAGGGGAATTCCCAGAAAGCGAGTGACCTCCACTGGCTGCATCCATCATCGCTGCAGCCCCCCGCAATGCCACACACATCGCTGCCCACCCGCCCGCTCTCGCCGCCGGCCCCGGCCCTGACTCCTGCTGCCTTCTCCCCCCCAGCGCCGTGTCCCCCAGCGCCCTCTCGCCTGCTGCAGCACCCTGACACCCCACCCAAAGGTGCGCCTCCCTGCGCGGAAACGTCCCCCCGGGAAAGCACGGGAGCCAGGGAGAAGCGGTTTTCTCGCTGGAGGTGGAGCGGGCGGCGTTTGCGGGAGAAGAGGAAGCTCTGGCATGCACCGCCGAACAAAAGGGAACAAGTGGTCTTTACTCGGAGAGCAGCTTCCTATTAAGACTCACTCCGTCGTACATTATGCCTTTCATCCCCACTCAACCACAAAATGATTTTGCTGTAGGAAATACAATGGCAGAAAAAGATTTACATTGAAAGAATCTTTAATAATAAACTGTTGCAGATCTGCCTACTTCCCCATGATTTATAATACAATAAACATCGGATTCTATTAAGTCTCATGCACTGAAGACACGCACTGAAAACCCGAGTATGAAAGCCCTCAATTCTTCCCTTCTCCAGGCCCATAATAGTGAAACGAGCATGGATAAATGTGCTAAGAGTATCTCTTTGCATCTTTTATAGCTTGTGTGTATCAATCTGTAAAGCTTATTAAGAAAGTCATTGCTATGCAAAGCAGCACCCAATCTCTTTCTCTTGCTTTTCAACAGCGCGCAGTGTTTAGCCAATAGGGCCGGGCCCCGGCCCCTCATTCCGCATTCATAACATGCAACATTTGCACAATGTGTATCTCAAAGGCTGCTGAATAGAAAGCCTTAATACTCATGTAAACAACTGCAAACCAATTACTTAATGAATCAGGCCCACACATAATGAGGTGCCAGACAAAGAGCTATAAATGCATTTTTGCGCCCGAGCCTCCGCTTTAAAGTAAAATCCCTCAGCTGTAGTTTGGGCTTAACTGGCACATGATAATTATTGTCTGGGGGACATCAGAGGAGCCACGGTTTTTATTCCGGTCCGGCGGGGTCCGCGCCGAGGTCACTCATCAGCTCAGTGACAAAACGCGGCAAAGGAGAATTTATAAAGTGCCACGGCCGAGCTCGCAGGGATGTTTATTCTCAAGTAGTGGGTTTGAGACCACTTGTGAAAGCAATAAAGCCCGAGGAGTGGCTGCTGGAGCGGAGCTGCAGGGCTGCAGAAACGGCACGGCACGGCACCAAACAGCTCTGCCTCTTCCTCCTCCCTGTGCTGCTCCCAAACCCCGCCGTGGCTTCCCAGCCTTCTAAAAAAAATTTACACTGACTTGCTGCTCCCAAACCCCGCCGTGGCTTCCCAGCCTTGTGCAAAAACTCACTCTTGCACTGACTTACAGCTTTAGTACCGTGGATTTTTGAAGCAGCGTCATCACGTGCCCCTGCACAAACGAGAGGCTTGGAATTATAGACCAGAGGGAATGATTTGAAATCTATTACCTATCAAAATTGGAGAAAAAAGTAAAAAAAAAAAAAAGGCAGAAAAAAATCTAACAGTGTCTAACCGAGGCAGAAGTGGCTGCAGGCACGGCTGGCCAGCAGTGCAGCAGCAATGGGCTGTAGCTCGGAGAGCTTTTATTTTAAATAAAAAAATAGTTACATTTAAATGACACGTTTTATTCAGCCACAGTGATCCTGTGAGTTCTCAGGGCCCTATTCTGTCCTTCCTGCTGTCCTAAGCTTCAGGGAAGGGCTAAAATGGAACCTTTCAAAAACTCATCTACAGGAACACCCTTGCATTTCACAACACAAGGCAGGATAATCGTTGGCTCATGGTTCTCAAAGTTCCAGAAAATAGGAAAAGAGGAAACAATTGAACCTGAGATGGCAAGAATTCATCCCACACCAAAGCAGCAACGCCAGTCATCGATGCTGGGGTTATTAATGTGCTTGAATTATAGAAATGCTATGATTTAACAGCAGCTGCAGAATCAGAACTGGCCTCACCCACGGCAGCCTAAAAATCCGTGGAGCAGGAGGATCAAAAGCAAGGAGAAGCTCATACCCTGAGGTTTGAGCAGTGCTTGATTACAGGAACAGCAACCTTAACCCTGGTCCAAGCAGGAAAAGAACTGAGGGGAGTTTCAGCCCTTTTCTGTGGGGCTTTCTCCCTCGGGGCAGCATTCCCAGTGCTGCAGCCTTACCTGGAGGAGGGAGGAGTGCTTCCATCTGACTCAGAGCTGCTTTCCAAATGTGTGCCCGGGCTGCTGCTTCCTTCGGGACTGCCGTGCCTGGGATCCCTGCCTGGGCAGGAAAAACGGGGGCTGTGAACTTCCCAAGTTCCCATTTACAGTAAGCAGAAAGGTTCTTTTTGTTCTCCCTCCCCTTAAATGTAGATTATTTGGGAATGCCACAGATAGCTCTGTGTTTTCAGCCATTCTCTTGAATGAGACAAAAATAAGTAAGTCCTATAAAAATCGAATTAAACGCATATCTTGCTATTTCTGTGACTTAAACAGCCAAACACCCAACTATTTCAAAACCTTTTATCCCCACTTTCCTTTCTTCCCTTTTCCCCTGCTCTGTGGATCTCATTTCCATTCTGTAAAGATTGATTTAAAAAAAAAAAAAAAAAAGAAGAGGCAAATGGATTCATTCACTAGAGTCAGACAATTGCTCATCTTTGTATTCGTTTCCAAAGCACATGATGCTAAGCACAAATCCCACTTTAAAAGGCTGCTTTGCATATATATTTTATATATATATGTATATGTTTTTATCTACAGCACTGAAACTATAACCAAGCCCTGCTATCAGCAGTGTCCCAGTCCAGGATGATTCAGTATTTTTGTCCACATTGGATTCTCCACTTCCCAACCTGCTGGGCACATTCCCTGTCCCTTCTGCACTTGGATTGCAGCAGCAAAAATCCTGCTTGGTCTCAGGCACTTCCAGCAAAGAGGTGCCAGAGCCTGCCCAGGAGGAAAGAGAAAACAAGAATGAGAGGGAAGAAAGATAAAAGGGGGAAAAAAAAAGAATTTCTCATGATGTATCACAGCTCATGGCATTGCCTCTCCCCCAAAAGCAGAGCTCAAGCTGCTGCTGCCTCTGCTCGAAGCTGCATGAAGAATTTCCAGGCAGAATTCACAACTCCAGAAAGACTCTGAGGCCTTTTAGGAACTCGAGTGTCCAGGTTGAGCTGCTGGATGGCATCATCCAGGCTGAGCTCAGTGCAGTGCCCACCCTGGTGCTGGCCCGAGGAACTTCATCCCAAACCATATCAAACCATATCAAACCATATCAAAGAGAGCAAAAGGCTGAGTGAGACTTCTGAAACGCCTTCATTGGTGCACTCCAAGCAGAGCCACGGCATCCTCAGAGGAGGACCTCACCAGGAAGGACGTGTGGGAAAAGTGCTGGCAGGATTGCTGGCTCACTAAAGGTGGCCTGAAAAGGGAGGCACATTCCTCCAGTTGTGATCTTTCCTTTTCCTGTCTAATACATAAAGAAGGGGCAATCTTTTCTTCCTAACAGGGCTTTTCCTCCTTATTCCTCCAGGAGATTTTAGACCTGGAGAGCAGCTGGGGGTGATGTTCCAGCTGCTGTAAAGCAGAGCCCAAGGAGTGCAGCAGTTACACCATTTTTATTCAAATCCTCCACAGCCTTAACGCCTGCTCAAATCAAAGACAAGTGAAGGGGAGAGAGAGAGAATCTGGTTTTGTTAAAGATTTAACAAACCTGCCCCTTCAATAAAATCAGCAATTTCCTATTCATAAGTGAGACTCTTAAACAGTCATCCAGCAAAACAAGAAATAATGGGTTTTATCCTTCTTAATCTCACATTATTCGCCTACCTCAGGAACAGCCAAAGAGCTGAACAATTTCTTTTACAGTCTTCTGATAAAAAACAAAGCATCCGTGGAGGAGCTGAGAAGGAGCCCCTGTATCCTCCCATCACCTGGTACCACAGGACACTGCTGCTGTCAGCCAGCTCCTCTCTGGGCCAGCCTTTAAAGCCCTCAGCCTTCCCTGAGCTCTGCACAGGGCACAAAGAACCAGCACAATTCTGGAATATTCACAGACACGCAAAGGAATTAATTGTTTGGTTCTCTTTTTACGTAACAGAAGTAAAAGAAAAAATGAACCAAAACTCCAGAAGCATTCCTGAGGTGCCATCCTAAAGACTGCTTGGAAGTCCATCAAACCCCAAAGTTCAAATCAACACTTTAAATACCGAAATTAAAAAAAACAACCCAAATTTGTATCCCTTAAGCTTCAGAAAAACAGCGAAATAGTCATGTATGGATGACCATCAAATATCAGTTCATCTAAACCCCTCAAAACATGTTGTTTGAGCCCAAAAGCCAACACACAAGAGATGTGGCTTCTGTTTTTAGGCTCATAATGACTCCAGAGCCCCAGGGCCACAGCAAATGGTGATGATAAAAGGGAAGGAGCAGCTGCCTGGCAGGGAGAGGAGGGGAGGGGAACGAGGAGCCCGCAGAAGATCATGGGCTGAAGATGAATCATGTCTGAAAGGAGCAGCTTGGCTTTCAAGTGAGGTGTGAGAAGGCTCACTCCTGGAGACAGAGGAACAGCACACACAGCTCCCTTGCAAGGGACACGCTGGAGCTGGAGTTGTGGCTTTGGCTGAGGAGCTTCCTGCCATTTTTACACGCAGGAAGCATCAGCACTTGCTCTTGGCTCAGGGCAGACATGGAACACGACTACAGGGAATTCAGGAGGTGCTGTGCTCCCCAGCTTTGCTCTTGGCTCAGGACAGACATGGAACACGACTACAGGGAATTCAGGAGAGTGCTGTGCTCCCCAGCTTTGCTCTTGGCTCAGGGCAGACATGGAACACGACTACAGGGAATTCAGGAGAGTGCTGTGCTCCCCAGCTTTGCTCTTGGCTCTGTTTGATTGTGCTGGGTTTGCTCCCTGTGCCAGCAGGGTGGGATTGTATAACGCTGTGGAATGCTGGGCCCGAGGTTAACATGCAGCCACCCTTCCACCTGTAATGGGAATCTTTGCCACCACACTTCCCTGCCTGCTCTCATCTTCACTCCAGCCTGTGACTTCTGGATGTGAACACTGGTAATGAAACCATTTCAAAGCAGCAGCCATCAGACCGCTTTGCCTGCTTTTGAGCCCTACTCCCTTTAATTTCCCACTTTTGTTATCTCTTGTTTATTGATCTAAACTATCCATTACTGCTCTTAAAAGCAGCTCCCACTGGGAGCATGCCACCCTGGCTCTCTGTAGCTTCCTCACAGAAGGACAAGCCAACCAAATGTCCCGAGGAATTGCAGACCTGATGGATTTGGGAAACAAAACAACCCGCAGCAAGGCCCGGCGGCGGCGGCGCCGTGTGCCAGAGCCACAGCAGGAAATGAGCTTAAATCAAAGTCTGCACATAAGAGTGCGTGGATTTCGGAGCCTGGAGCAGCCTGTTTGCATTTGCTGTGCAAAGAGCACGGCAGCCTAATTGCCTGCTGCTGCCAGATTCTGATGGAAAGGGTGCTCCAGGAGCAGAGCAAGCAATGCCATCGCTGGAATCATGTATTCCCTCTGGTGTGAAGGAATGAGCTGGGCTCTCCTCAACACCAGCATGTCCCCAGCTGGGAAATGGCCCCACACGAACCCTTTCATTTTTGGCAATTCCTTCTGCAGTCTGGCAGAAGGAGAGAGGCAACAAATGCATCTCCCAGTTCCTAAATGTGCACACAGAACTCAGTGATCCATTTGACAGTGGCCACAGGGTTTGGCCTTTGCTCTCCTGCACAAAAACCCACCACCACAGGTATCAAATCACAAGCAATACTGAGATATTTAGGAAAATCCTCCAAATCCATCAGAAATGCACATTGATCTGCCAGCAGCTACAGCACAGGCCCCTGGGGGTTTGGACAGAGCAGGAATTTGGAGTGGCAGCCAGAGCTGGAACCCCCTTACCTGCTTCTCTCTGTGCCAGCTCCCTCTGCCTTCCTTCCCCACCGTTGGTTGGGATCGATGGCAGGAGCAGAGAGGATTCATCACTCTGGACAGTGCCAGGCTCTCCTGGAAGGGCCTCTCCCAGCACCTGAGCATTCAAAACACAAACAGCCACAGCTCCATTATCCTGCCCTGGAGCTTTCCAGCAGGCATTCAGGCTGATCTAACTCCCGGGGTAATCTGCTCTCAGGGTGTTTCTGTCAGATGTTCCACCACCTGGCTTCTAGGCTGTTCCTCTGGGGCTGGTTTGGGGGCAGAAATATGGACTTGAGTGTGTAAAACCGACTCCATGTTCTGCCCTGACTCTCTCACTGTTCAGGAAAGCAATTGTTCAGCAGCACAGTAAGAGGCTGAGGCACTCACAGCCTATGGAATGACATTCCTGTTGATTTATTTAAATAGTTGCCTATAACCTCCTGCATTAACTTAGAAAAACCACGAGTGTGCCACCATTTATAAAATGCTCTGTGTGTTCAGCACCAAACCTCACTCTGCTTAAAAAAAAGTCAAAATACATCGTTCATGATAAAAATTCCGAGAATGACAAAGGGAGAAGCCTTGTGATGGTGACCTCGTCCCAATGCTTGGCTAGCACGAAGGGTGAGGACCTCAAAAGTTCCCATTTCCTGTGGGATGAAACGCTGGACTTATTTCCCTGTGTCAGTGCCCACCTGACTGTCCTGCCCCTCCTCTGCCGAAGCCAGCAGCTGCTCAAACATCTCTGCCACGCCCTCCGGGAGCCGAACGCGGTGCTGCCTCAGGAACAAGCCGTGGTGGCCCAGGAGCGTCCTCAGCGCCCCCGTGTCCCTGAGGAACAAACCGGAACCCTCAGTGGGATACCCCACCCACAAGGGCTGGGAAAAGCCACCCCCCCCAGCTGGGCCTGCATTCCCACGTTGTCTTTTAAAAATGTTCAAAGCGGAAAATCTAAGAAGTCACTTGTGAGTTCTGCAAATGTGGGCAAGTTGGGCAGGGGTGACCATCATCACCATCATCATCATCATCATCATCATCATGCCTGCCCTGTCCTGAGGCTCAGGATCCAAAGACACAACCCTGGTCTCGGCACCATCCCCGGGGCACAGCTAGGCACCCAATGCTTGCCTTTTGCTCAGAAAGAATAAAAAGGGGGGCAAAAAAAGCCGAACAAGGTGCCTTTTAACGTAGAAAATCTCAATCCTGCAATCCTTTTGTTTGCCAAAGCTGTTTGTTTTTCCTGTTGCTCCAGTGAAGTTTCAGAGGAGTGAATTCCAATTAACTCCAGGAGTGTTTGTCCCTAAGAAACCATTCAGGAGACACAAGGAGCTGCTGGTGCCCGCAGGCGTATCAGCCTCAGGAGAGGCAGGTACTGCAGAGAGACCCTTCTGCAGCGCTCACAAGTGCCCCGATCCTGCCAGCACTTGAGCACTGCGACGGGGAGGGAGGTCTAGACACAAGCTAGGCAAGGCAGAATGGAAATTGTTTTCATTCCTGGGTTAAAGAGACCTGGGGAAAAAAAAAAAAAAAAAAGTAATTCTCACTTGTCCTTGTGGCATATGCACGGGAAAAAAAAAGCCCATTTTCAATAACTGCACTTTGCTGTTTTTAAAGGCCACGTGCATCTTCTGTCTCACACAGAATAATTTCCTTCTCAAAATTACATTTCCCCTCCTTACTTTCACATCCTGGGAATGGCTGGCTGAGGGTGTCTGGAGTTCCTGCAATTCCCTGAGCTGGGGGATGAGCTGGGGGGACCCCGGGGCTGCCCTGTGGAGCAGGAGCCACCACTGGGGACGGGGAGGGAAATAAAGGGAAAAAGCCACGAGGCTCTGGTGGCTCTGTCCGAGGGGCAGCACGGACCTGGGGCAGAGCCAAGGGTGTTCCTCAGCCCTGCTCTGTGGGTTCTGTGCCCGTGTACCTGCTGTGCTCCTCCAGGAGGCTCCCAATCCCTGGGGACACGGCCTGCTGGAGCTGCTGGAGCACCATGGCTTCCATCACCTCCAGGTCACCCTGAGCCAGCCTGCAACACAGAGCAGGGGGGACAATCACCATGAGCACAGCCCATCCCATCCCATCCCAGAGACAGCCAGAGGGACAAACAAACATCCCTGGTGCTCTGTGGCACACGTGGGACAGCACAGGGAGGTCACACTCAGCATCAGGCCTGTTTGGGGCACCTCTTTCTAATTCCCGAGGAATCCTCCCATCATCAAGTGCCTGCAGGAGTCTCAGTCTGTGCAGGCTGTGCAGTGCTGCCAATAAAGTCAGCAGAATTCCCAGTTCTGTACCCAGGAAGCTGAGGAGGGACTTTCTGCCACTGCAACACCCTGGGGATTCCCTTTGCTCCATTCACGGTGTTTTTGTCACTCACCTGGGCAGCTCCGAGGGCTGGCCCTGGTACAGTGCCCGGTGCTGGGGGCTCGTCCTCTCCACCAGGTCCTGCAGGAGCTGCAGTGCGTGGCAGAGCTCCGAGAGCTCTGTCCTGCGGAGGGACAGACAGACAGACAGTGACCGACGTGTGACAGGGCTCCCCCCTCATCCCGCACCTCCTCCCAAACTGCCTCGCTGGAGCTTTCCAAAGAAAAGGCCAAAACCACGTTCCCGAGCTCTGTAGGAAGGTGGGGGGGGGGGAAAAACAGCACACGAGCAAACAAACCGTCCAAAAATCAGGCGCTGCACGGCAATCACCCCGCGCCCAGCGCTTTCATTCCTTCACCTCCGCAAGCCACACAAATCTGGTGACCACCTACAGGTACGGGACAGCCCCGGGACCTCAGAGGGGTTCTGATGAGGCTGCACCTCTATAATGATGCAAATGAGGACTTAACCACTGAAACAATGCTGCGGGCTAATCCCGGGACAGAGGTGGAAATGGCTATTCAGGTCCCCGGCTGCCGCTTTGTGCTGCTCCCAGCCCAGGTCCCGGCCGGCAATGAGCACCGCAGCTGGGGCAGAAGAGAGTTTTCTTTCTTTCCTTTGCCCCACATGCAGGAGCTGACACGTTTCCACGGTTAACCCTGGCTCGCTCTGCCTCCAGGGAGAAGCTCTGCGCACAAAAACTCGCGGCTCTGCGCTGAGCCGTGCCCAAAGCTATGTTTTCCCTCCGAGTGTTGGGCAACAGTGAACAATTAAGTGGGGGCTGCTGTGTCTTTAGTCGAGTTTCCTAGACATTTAATAAGCAAAACAATGCCAGGGAGATCACATAGGCGGTTAAACAGTGCTTTCTCTTTCTCCCCCAGCCTTACAAACCCTGTATTCCAGCGGCCGGCTCGTTTCCCATTGTTTTCCTCCCGCTGGGTGGTCCTTCCAGGGTGCCACTCGAGAGGGATACAATAATAAAAAGGGAAGGGGAAGGAAGGGACACCAACATAAAGAAAAACAAAATGTATGACAATCTGCAGCAGGCTACGGATCAGAGGTCAGCAAACAAGAGGTCCTTCTCTTTTACAGGTTGCTTCCTGGAAACAGTCTGATTAAGCTGACAGCTTGAATTATGTGTTACATTTTGTAATGCACAATCCATCTGTGCTAAGTCCTCCTCAATGCAGCTGAAGCGGCACAGGCATAAGCTCTGCCTTTTTCCACCCCCTCAGCTCAGGCCTTAAAATAGTCATCATCTTTCTCCAGGCTAATTCTCAGAGACCCTCTCCCCCCCGCCTTCCACCCCCCGGGTTTAAGCCCTCAAAGAAAGGGCTGGGTGCTGCAGGGAATGGTAAGAGGACACGGAGCCTTTCCCCTCGGATCAGCTGCTGACAGGAAACCCATGCCGGGAGAAGGCAGGAACACCCACCTTACTGCCCAGCCATCACCACTTCTCATAACTGGGACCTGCAACAGCACGCAAACCTTCTGTTCATTCACCTTGCCCAACAACATCTCCCCTCCTCGGCTGCCAGCCCTTCACTGCAGGGAAAAAAAACCCTGAAACGCCTTAAAACACCATCCCTCGTGCTCATTTCAGATCATTCACCAAAAAGTGTATGAACGGAGCTTCCTTCTGATGCCACACTGACACTGCTGCAGTGGGGAGAGTCCAAGCTGCAGATATTTCAACTTATGGCAACAAACACACAGAATTTGGTGAATTTCAGCACGCTTCTTCAGCCGGCACAGGAATTTGGCAAGAGAAAGCCACGGGGGCTGGAAGGACATCACACGTTGTGAATCCGTGGTGTGACAGAGCAAAGGAAGCTGCATCCCCACACTCTGTGTAACGTGTACAATTGAAATTCGTGCACTAATCACTCCCAAGCTCTTGCACAGAATTTTTGCAAGACGAATTTTGCGAGGCTGCCCGGGGAAGCCCACCTGGCTGTGAGCACAACCAGGGAAACGGCTCCTCCTCCACCTCCTCCTGCCGCTGGATCTGCCTTTTCAATTTGCAGGCAAAGCAAATTAAAACCTCCATCGTTTCCTGCAGCAGCAGCAAGCAGTGGTGATCCCACTTCCATGGCCTTGAGAAGCAGAGGCATTCAGCTTGGCACAGCGGGAGGAGAGCGGCTCCAGCCGTGCCCCGGGGACAATGCAGCCGCTCAAACCTTGTGCATAATTTCCCCGGGCCTCGAGAGCTGCCCCGAGCATCGTCAGGCGCTGCACAGCGAGGGGAGGGAACACAAGGTTAAACTGGCTCTGACTCCTCTCGCAGAGACGGGCACTCGGTGCTCTGCTGTGATTAACAGGTGGGATACAAAGGGAGGGAGGGCTGCGGGAAAAGCTATTTACATGCAAATCAGATGATGTTTCCATAGCGAGCAACAGCCCGGTGCAAATGGGAAGGGATGAAGTTACAGAAGTGTCTGCCCGTGGCCCCCAGCTTCTGCTCAGGTGTCAACTCCCCAGCCAGCAGTGGCCACAGCGTGCCCAGGAACGCACATCCACACATTGACACGCTGCAAACAACCAAGGTGGGAGAACCCGACCAAACTGCAGAAGAGCAGAATTCCCTCTGCAGGAACGCTCGTTCTCCACCCAGGGCTAACAGCGCTGCTTCCTGTGCACCGTGTGCCACTCGGGACCTGCCGGCCCTCCGGGCTGAGCCGGCCCGGCCCCGGGGACCAGCCCTGCCCTGCCGGGACAGGGATGCACTTCCCAGTCTCACGAGGGCGTTGCGGGGCCGAGAATCCTGCCGGGATGGATTTCCATCCTGCAGCAGGGGACGGGCCCTGAGTCTGCAGAGCACTGCCCACCTCCCCTCTGTTTCCAAACAAAACGCTCACACAGTTCAACCCCTGCAAGTTTTGCCAAGCAGAGTGACTGGAACAAGATTTGTGTACGTTTAAACTGTGTTTTAGCAACAAATCCTTCACTTGCCAGCTCAGACCCCAGCGAGGTGCCCGAAGGCCCTGAATGCCCAGCAGGGTACAAGGACAGGGGAGAGCTTGGTGTGAGCTTTGGTGACCAGCCCAGCTGACCCAGGGAACAGGGAGGTGGTACCTGGCTGGTGCTGAGCTGTCCAAGGGCTCCAGAGCCCGGGCATCCCTGCCCTGCTCCTGCTGTGTGCTGGGAATGCTCGGCCTCGCCTCCTCCTCCTCCTCCTCCTCAGCAGGGACTGGCAGCTCAGCACTGCTCCCCTGCCTGCTCAGGCCAGGCTTTGCCCCTGTAATAACGATAAAAAATAATGAACCAAAGAGATAAAACCTGCACTTATCCTTCTCAGACATTAGCAGGAGCGTGGAGTAGATCACAGCGTGGGAAATGAATCCAAGTTCACCCACACTGCTCACCCCTCATGGGTGAGGGAGCACCCCTGCATCCGTGCATCTATCCGTGCATGCATGCATCCATCCATGCCTCTGCTCCTCTAGTCTGGCCCTGCCCTCAGCCCCTGTCCTTCCACGCTCCTCTCACAAGGGGGAGTCCAGGGAAGCTGCAGCCTTTGGGGTTTGGGAACTCTTCAAAAGCACAGACACCAGCTACCTGACCAAATGAGCTCTGTGGGAATCACCCAGCTATCCTGCCCCAGCTCTGAGGGACAAGGGAGTCAGCCTGACCCAGAAGTGACTCCTCTGCTGAAGCAGGAAGGGACAGAGAGGGGGAAAAAAGGAGTAAGAGCCACCACAGCCCAACCAGAGGTGCAGGAGGAACAGAGGCAGACAGGGACACATCCCTGTGGGACATACCTGGAACATGTCCCGGCCTCAGGGGGGCTGAGCTGAGCTGCTCAGAGCCTTCCTCACTGGCAGCCAGCTCCCTGTGTCCTGCTGCTCCCTCCTCACTCTCTCCAGCAGTGCTGCCAGTCTCAGGACAGAGTCCTTCAGGGGAGCCCAAACCTCCTGTGCCCGAGGCAGCTGGGGTGGAACAGCCCAGCAATTCTCCTGGCACGGCTCTACTGCTGCCAGTCCCAGCCTGCAGCACCTGAAACACACGGTGGGACACGGCTGAAGGAGACAAACAGGAGACAAACACCCAGAGCTTCCCGAGGACGGCATGCTGGGCTCTGAAAAGTGCCACGGAATTCAGGAGTTGGCTGTGGCAGAAGCTGCCTGCACCCCCAGCCCGCCCAAAAGGGACCCACACACAGCAAGGACTCAAACCCATCTAAACGGTGCCTGGGAAACCTTTGGGATGAGGATCCTGCACAGCTTTGGAGACCCTCACATTGTGAGCTGCCCAGAGGGACCATGGAGCTCCACGTGTGAATCACTCAGCAGATCCAGCTTCCCTCACGTCCCAGAAAACTCAGTTTCACTGCCTCCCTCCTGCTCTTCCCGTGCTGGCCTTTCCCACCAGGTGACGTGGGACAGGGAGCAGACATTCACATTTGTGAACTTTCCTCCAAGGACTGTTGAACTTGCCCAACAGCAGCCCCAGGAGCAGGACCACTCTGCTGTAAATCCCAATGTTTTAACACTTGCCTCTTTTCCTTTGCAAACCTATTCAGTCAGGACAATTTAGGAGGAGTGGCTGCTGCCACCACTGCTGCGGGGTCACAGTCTATGCAAAGCCAAAATGAGCCATCCTAAGGCCATTGCTCACTGAGCAGGGCTTCCTCTGCAGCCCCAAATCCCAGCAGCACCATTTACAGCCACCTCCACACCTCTCCCCTCTCTTTTACTGCCTGACCTCTTCCTCCCACACCAAGTCAGCTGCCAAGCCCAGCTGAAAGGAAACAAAGGCATCTTGTCTGCTCCGTGACCAAGGTGCCTTAAAAAAAGCTCAAATTCCACAGTAAGAGGAGCAGAACAAAAAGCCACGAAGTCACTTGAAGCAGTAGTTAAAGGTTTGCCACTCAGACTGAGTTCACAGCTTATTCCATCACCTCTGCTCTCAGGTCCCTCCTAATTACCTCTGGGGTGTGGGATTTGGTGCTTTCAAACACCTCCTGCCAGGCCTGCACGGCTCTGGCAGCTCCTGGGTGCAGAGATGGATTTCAAACAGGCACAGGCACAACACACATCCCTGTGGATCCCCTTTCCCCAGGAAGGGAACTCTGGCACCCAAAGGTGCTCCTGGGAGGTTCTGGCACGTTCTTCCCAGCACAGAGCCATCCCTATCCCAGTGCTGGGAAATAAAACCCAGCTCCACGAGCTGGATCCTGGCCTGATCCCATCACTGCTGGGATGCTGACTGCACTCTCTCTGTGCCACATCACTGAGAACAAACTCCTGTGTTTTGGACAGAAGAACGGGCACCTTTGAAGGGCAGAAAAGGGAATTAGGAGCTGAAACACAGCCCAGGGACATGGGGAAAATGCCCAAGGTAGCCGAAGTTACCTCTGTGGTAGGAGGGAGATGAGGAGGAGGAAGAGGGCAGGGGATAAAGGAATCCACAACCCATTATTAGACACAAATTGACATTTTTGGGTGCTCGCCACACTGTCGTAGTGCCCAAAAGCCGCCCACGGTTCTTCAACCCCCAAGTCACAGCACAAGCCTTTGATGCTCCAGTACTGATTTTTCTAGTACCAACTCTTCCATCAGCTGGAAATCCCACTGCCACAGTGCCTGCCCTAATTGGACAGCTCACATTCCAAAATCAACTCACCTTTCCCCCCACCACCTCCCAATTCAAACCTCAATTTGCACCCCGCCCCCCGCCACAGGCCTGCCTATATAGGTCAAGGCTGCTAGGCTTCACTGCTTTGTGTATTACAGTTTAAAGAACGCTCTAAATTCAAGGTTTTTAACTTTTTAATCTGTGGGGAAAACTTCCTATAAACTCAGATTAACGACTGCTAATGCACTGAAGAAAGGAAACCAAAAACCTTCCTCCTACTATAAAAACAAAATAGTGTGGCCTCTGTTTCTTTTCTGATAAGAGTCTTAAATACCAAACATTTAACTGCATAATAACATTCCCTGGCAGCCAGCAGCCTGCTTAGCAGATACATAAAGCAGGTAAAAGGGGAAAAAGTTAATTTCTTGGCTGAATGATTCCATCGGTAGCTATAGGGCAAACTAGAAAGTCTTTTAGTAAAGTAGCAGTTGATTCTTCTATCAATCTGCAGCACACACACTCTCTTCCAAGGAATGCATTAAATATGAAAATCATATCCCGTTATCATCTGCTCCCAGCTTTCAGCCCAGTAAGCTTTCCTTAATGAATGCTGTAGCCTCGGGGACGGCGGCTCCTCGCAATAATGGAGTGCTGCTCCCGTCCCGCCCGCTCCTGCGCCGCCTGGCTGAGGGGCTCCCACACACAGTCACAAGTGACTACTCTTGCCAGCATGCTCCAAGTTATTACTAGATGTTTTTTAGACATTTCATCTAAAAGGGCTTTGCTGCTTTTAGTGGAGAAAACAGCTCTGGTCTTGAACTGTATCATTTATATGGAGATAGGAGGAGGGATTAGGAGCCTGCATTACCGCAGATATATGGCAGCAGATATTTAAGTATTCCTTGTCAGTCTTTTTGTCTGTTCCTCAGATATGCAATCTCCTTCTGCTCCCTCTGAGGAAAGGTCAAAAGACACGAAATTATAAACACGGCGCACGGCTCCGGGGCTGTAGCTCTGCAAATATCCCTCATTAGGAACATTTCCTCCTCGGGCACGGCCACCTCCACACCAGCCAGCGCAGGAATTACAAAAGCCAACAAGAAGACGTGTGCAAACTGTCGGAGGTTTTTTTTTTGGTTTTTTTTTTTTCTAATTCCGGCTCTCCGGATCAAACGATTGCACTTTTTACCCGGGCGCTTCTCCTCCTCCCGGGCTCTAGGCACAATTTCACGGCACAGTCCCCGTGGAAAGGCTGAGCAGAGCACAGGAATAAAGCCCATTCTCCCCCCCCGTCCTCCCCGTTACCTGCTCGCTGGATCCTCCCTCCTTGTCACCTCCTGCTGACGAGCCGCCCTCTCCAAGGGATAACAGGTTTTTAATTTCCCTCCCGTACCATTCCTAAAAGGGAACAAATCCGTCACACAAAACTGGAGGCCCGACAGCCCCGACAGCCCTCCCCAACGCAAGAGACGCCACTTTGCAAATTGTGCCCCTCGAAATGCAAAGCCCCCAGAACCTTTTTAACCCACATTTAAAAGCGGGGGGATCTCATTTGCTCCTCGAATCCCCCAGAACAGCAGTAACTTGTTGACTGGTGTTTGTTCATCTGCATCCCAACGCTATCTGTAACACCAAATTATTGCTGCTGCCTCCGGACAATGACTGGCCGTGTTTTGGAGCTCCACGATGTGTTTTTCGTGCCCCCTCTTTACAACTGGCCGGGCTGCTGTGAGGAACAGTCCCTGGCAGATGCTCCAGAGCAGCCTGGCAGGGAAAGCTCGGTGCTGGCAGTGAATCCTGCACACAACCAGCTCACCCTGCACGGCTGCAGCTCCCACGTAGGAGCCTGGAATTCCAGGGAACAAAAGCTCACCCCTCACCTGAGGAGTCGAGATGCTCAAAAGAGACTCAGATGTGACTCCTGGATTTTGCTGGAAGATGAAGGGAATTTATTTATGCTCCTGAAAATTACTGGCCAAACACAGGGAGCGAAAGTGCATCTTTCAGAAACAAAAGGAGTTTTGTGAGCTACGGCCACGTAATAAATGTGCACAGAGTTGTGATAAAGCACTCCTAAAGGGCATTGTCTATGGAAAAAAAGGAGAGGAAACAGCAATAATTTCTTTCTGTGTACTCCCATGATAGATTAAATGATTGCATGCTCCATAACTCTCCTGCTTTCCATAACTAACACGGAGGAGATGTCATTTGTTCAGCAGCTCCGAAAAGTGACTGCAACTTGGCAAAGATAAAATGGATGGCACAGGAACATCAACATGGAAGGACTGAGCAAAAACCCCTCGTGCAGCTCGACCTGTGCCACTGGCACTGGGACTCCAGCCCTGACACTGCACCAGGGCTGCTGAGGAGGAAAAACCCCTCCAAAACAGCAGGGGAAAGCTGGCAGGGCAGCACGGCCCCCCTCCTGCCCTGTTACCAACAGCAAGGGAAAATCAAGGGCAGGGAATCACACAGCCCAGGGACAGGCTCTGAATTCTGGGCTCCCGCACTGCAGCCAGGAAAAGATGTTCTGGGAACATCCAACAGGCACTACCTGGGCTGCTGCTGCGTGAGGAATAAACCCAGCCAAAGGTTTCTGAGAAAGCAGGAGAGAACTCATTTCCCTCCCAGACTGTGCTCCCCACCCCCAAAAAAACCTGGCTCCGTGCACCGCTGGCACAAGCTGGCGTTGCAATTGCATTTTTAAAAGTCTGGAATCATCGCTTTGCAAAGTGCCAAACTGTACTTTAGGGAACAGCATGACAACGTAACAACAACAATAATGATAATAATAATAATAATGTGATTCAAGGAACCTGAGGGCTTGGCTTTTCCTGACAGCATCTGTTGAATCTGGGACACTTTTACCACCTGAAATACGGCCCCTGGTGGAGTTTGCTTCCAGCTCTAGGACACACCAGGAGATTCCTGCGTGCCAACAGCAAATACCCGTGACCGAGCCTTAGAGAGAGTTACTTCCAATCTCCCGGATGCAGCGCCAGCCCCTGGTGTCCATGTGAGCCCCCAGCCGCAGGAATTCGTGGCGCAGGGCGCGGTTCCTGCGCAGGGCCAGCTGCTGCCGCTCCGACAGCGCCTCCAGGAGCCTCTGCAGCCTCCGCCTCGCTCTGCAGGGCAAACAACACGCACTGAGAGGTGCGAGAACACACCAGGAGCGTCCCTCAGGAGGCTGTGCCTCAGACACACACAGCAGCACCGAGGGGGAGCTGCCCCACGCCCCACAAAGGAGGAGACTCGTTCTTCTGCACACTCCATTTCTATAAATACGTATGTGCCACTTCCCTGCAGATTTACAGGGGGACTTCGGTGTTCCAAAGGGTAAACACGTTCAAAATCTCCTGTAACTGTGTTTTAAATGTACTAGTCACTCCTATCTCGTTAAATCAAGATGAAAACTGGAGCAGAGGAACGTGTTCTGAAAGTCACCCAAGCGGGAACAAGGCCGAGGCTGAGGTTTCAGAGCTGCCCAAATCCATGGTGCCACCAAATCCACCTAGGATTCCCACCTAGGCCAGGTCCCTACAAACCAGGTTGCTGATGTGCCCCCAGGGCAGCCACGGGGCATTAATGCCAGCACAGGGAAATGGGCACCCCGGGATGGCCCTGGCTTACAGCTCCTCTCCAGCCCAGAGAGAAACTGCAACCCAGAGAGAAACTGCAGCTCTAAATTAAACCAAACCCAATAAAAACAGGAAACAAAGTGCATGTGACGCTGCCCCACCTGTCCAGGCCCTTTTCTAAAATTTGTATCTGCATTTTCTGCCCCTTTCAGAAGAGGGGCTCCCCCAGCACCCAGCACACCTGGAGCTTTGCAGAACTCCTCTGGGGAAACGAGTGGAACATTGGATGGATGGAACAATGGAACATTCTCAGCCCTCTCTGGTTGTTGGGACTTCTGGATTTTTATTTTTTTTTTTTGCTTTGGTTTGCTGTTTAGGGTTTGGGCTTGTTGGGGTTTTTTTTTGTCCAGAATGTCCATGCAATTTACATTTAATAGACACAGCAGAAAGAATCCAAGGAGCAGGACCAGAACCTGGAATACCCCCTAGGGCTTCTTAAGGCTTTCAGCTTTCTAAGACCTTGGGATTCTTCAGCATGGACTAAGCTGTGGTGATTTTGTAAAAATAGGAAAAAGCCAACCTGCATGTTGGTTATTCCCAAGATTTTACTATCCACAGAATGAGGCATTTATGTTACTGCTGCAGTTATTTCATCAGTAACTTGAAGACATGAATTTTGCATTACACTTAACACGTGAATACAAATGTATTATTACCAAAAAACCTTCAATATAACCAAACCTTTGCAACTCAAATAAAATAACCCCCAAGAGGATTTTAAACTGGCTTACAGGTGTGGATCAGCCATTGTGTATTCCATCTGCTGCCTTCCTAATTCCAGCCTTTTGGCTTCACTGGAAGAAAACAAACAACACAGAGTGAGGTAAAAGTGTTTCACCATCTCCCAATACCAGAACTAAGGGGTTTTGCTGAGCAGAGAGGTCAGATTTGCTGGCAGTTACAGACTCAAGGGCCAGCCCAGCTCTGAACAACCCTAAGATTTCACTCTTTTTTTCTCTGTACCTCATTGGAACAGGGCTGCTGGCAAGGGAAGAGATTCCTGAACATCCACAAGACAGCCAGAGACCCCAGATGGCCCAGGAAGGGCTGTGACAAGGGGCCAGCACCAGGAAATAATCCCTGGCCAGGAGAGCCTGAGAGGAGATGGAAGGTCTGGTGACACATCCAAGGGTGGCACATCTATCCATTCATCCATCCATCCATCCAAACATCCATCATCAATCCATCATCCATCCATTCATCCATCCATCCATCCATCCATCCATCCATCCATCCATCCATCCATCCATCCATCATCCATCCATCATCCATCATCCATCCATCATCCATCCATCCATCATCCATCCATCCATCATCCATCATCCATCCATCAGGAGCTGGGACTGGCTGTTCAGCTCCTCCAGAACGGGAATAGTGAAGGAAAGACAAAAAGGAGCTGGATGAGCACAAGGAGGGGAAAGCTTCCCCCTGCCTGGGGCGAGAGCCGAGCCGAGCCCCGTGGGGCACCCGGCTCACCTGGGGCGGGGCTGGGCCGCCCATCGGTTCCCGGGGGCGGTCCCAGTGGCCGCTCCCGATCCCGCTGATCCCACTGGTCCCGCTGATCCCGGTGCCGTTCCCGGCGATCTCGGTCCCGGTGATACCGGTTATGTTCCCGGTGATCCCGCTGATCCCACTGGTCCCGCTGATCCCGGTCGCGTCCTCGGTAACCCCAGTCCCGTTCCCGCTGATCCCGGTGCCGTTCCCGCCGATCCTGGTGCCGTTCCCAGTGATCCCGGTGCCAGTCTCGGCGCCGTTCCCAGTGATCCCTCTGATCCCGGTGCCGTTCCCGGTGATGTCCCCGGTCCCGTTGCCGCTGATCTCACCGGTCCCGCCGATCCCGGTCCCGTTCCCAGTGATCCCGGTGCCGATCCCGGTGATCCCGATCCTGTTGCCGGTGATCCTGGTCCCGTTCCTGGCGATTCCGGTCCCGTTCCCGGCGGTCTCGGTGCCGATCCCGGTAATCCCGGTGTCGTTCCCGGCGGTCCCGGCGATCCCGGTGCCGATCCCAGTGATCCCGGTGGTCCTGGCGGCCCCGCGCGGTTTCCGCCGGTGCCCACGTGGAGCTCCCGTCGTGCCCCGCGCGGGACCCCGGAAGTGCCGCCCCGCGTTGCCATGGGAACAGGCGGGCGCGGCCTGCACCGCCCACAGGCGCCTCGGCCGCGTTGGGGGCGTTTTGTTTTTATTTTTTTCTAATCATTATTTATCGCTGCTCCGTCTGTCAGCACCACGCGGTTCCCGCGGGTGTTGCTGTTGGCCCAGATGAGCCCCCGGCTCGGTGCTGGAGGCCTCGCGGGGCGGGGCAGGATCGGCGTCCCTGGAAACGGGGGAAATTTCCATAGCGCCGTGCCGAACAATAACTGCGAGCTGCTCAACAGGTACCCGTGGCTTTTCCCCACTTTATTGTACACCGTGCTTAAAAAACAAACAAACACACACCGATCCCTCGTCCTCTGGAGTGCCCCTGTGTCCCCCTGGTGCTGTCACCTCTCCAAAATTCATGTGGGAGGAGCCACAGTCACCTCCAGCCCCTCATTCACATCTCCAGCTGGAGAATGAAAACAGAGCGCCCGCCTTTCATTTTCCAGATAAAAAACTTCGATCCCTTTGAAAGGAAGTTGCCAAATGAGCGCTTAAATTCCAGGGCCCCAATAAAACCTGAATGCCGCGGGAATAATTGAAATGAACAAGAAGCGACACATCAATAGACAAAATTGCGGAGAGCAGCGAAATGCTTAAGCGTAATTAGCACGGCAATCAGCGTACAATTAGTGCGAGATCCTCACAGTAATTACCCTTCCTTAGAACTTCTGGCCGAGGACGGGCACATGAAAGCCCAGCTGGAGGCTCAGCCTGGGGACATGCCCTGGCTTTGGGGGGATCGGGGCTTTTGGGGGCTCCTAGGCTGGGCTTGGTGATCCAGCAGCGTTCCCGGTGTTGCCAACCTCCATCTGGGCTCCTGGGATTTAAACACAGAGTAAAAAGCTCTGTGGAATGGGTGTCCCCACAGTAGCCCGGCTCAGTGTCCAATGGCCGGCTTAACAAAGCCTGGCCCGAGTCGGAGCTTTCCCACTCCAGGGACGCCCAGCAGAGCATTTGGGAGCCTTTCAGTATTGCATTCCCCTCGGGTCCTGAGCCCACTGGAAGCCTTATTCCCAACCTGCACTTTTAGGGTTTGGTGCAAAGGGGCCGATGGTCCCTGAGCCCCTTTCATCTCCTGGGCAGCCCTGGCAGGATTGTTTGTCACTGTGGGGCTCGAGGATCTTGACCCACAGCCAGGGCTCAGGATCCTGCTTTTCATTTAACAAAAAGTAAGGAAATAGGGAATCTTTCTCACTCCCTGTTTCCCACTTTGCTCCGTGCCTCGGTGCTCACGGCAGCCCCCGGGCTCATAATTGACTCGAGAATAATCTCCATCCTCCCGTCCCTGATAAGGAACGTGGTCCCTTCCCTGAAAGCCTACAAAGAGGAGTGTTTTGTTTGTGCTCTCCCCGCAGTACTTCACACTTCTTTTAGATTGTTTTAATTTAATTTCGATGTAATCTGATAAGAGCTGTAAAACTGTCAAAGGAAGCCGCCTCCTTCTGTCGCATTAAATCCACACTTTGAACGAAATGGTGGCTTTGTCCCCAGTAGCTGCCAAACCAAAGCATCTCTCGATTCCAGCACGGGGATTGATGTGCACTAATCTGAACAGCTTTTTCCGTTTAGGGAGGCAGCCACGTGTCCTTTAACATCCCCCTTTTCCTCCTGGACGTATCCCAGAGCGTGTGGGGTTGGCCTCCCACCTAGCAGAGACCCCCTGGCAGGTTCTCCCAGTTTTCCAGGGCAATGCATCCCCGTGCTGCACATGCCCTGCTGTGGGGATGGGAAACTCTTTCCAAAGCAGGATGTGTTGGGAAGAGGTTTTCCCTCTCTGTGCCTGGGTGATCCCTGAGATCCCACAAGCCAGGGCAGAGCCGAAAGCATTTGCTTTTCTTTTTTTCTCAATGAGACGCACAACACAGGCGCCGGTAACTGTGTGGAAACATACAGGGAATTGACACAACGCCCAACGCGAGTCCTTTTTGTTAATGACTCAAGCCCCAAACGCAGAGCACTAATAACACACCGGGAACCAAAGAGCAGAAACAGCAGTGAGCGATCTGAGCAGAGCAGCGGTGAGGATCCATTTCCTGTCAGGGCCAATGCCTGGCAACAGCAATTAGCGTGTTGAATTTAATGTTCACATTTTAATACGTTTCAATGTAGCAAAATGCTGTTGTTAAGCGGTACAGTTCCTCCAAACCTGTTATTACCGGTGTCTGATGCACAAGCGGCACACACCACGCCTGGCCTCGGGTCTGCTGCCTCCGGGCAGGTGACAGAGTTCCTCCAGCAGGAAGGACACAAAAACCTGGAGACCGCAGCAGTTCACAGCATGTCATGTTTATTAGAAATGTAAGGGCCTTAGCCAAAGCCCAGTGACATAATGGAAAAGCCCCTAGGCACGTCACTGTCCGTGGATTTTGGATTAATCCTGGAGAATTGAGATATATAAGCACCTACCACTGATAGGAACGAGCCCCAGAAACGGCACGGCACAGGGAGGGGCCTGCTTTAGAGACCATTTTCCAGGAAGCTCCCTTCCTTCTCCAGCCATCTCCAAGTGCTTTTCCAGTGTCCTGTGCAGCACAGGAGGCTCCCCGAGCAGAAGGGAGCAGGTGTGGCACGAACGAGGCTGTTCCAAGGCCGAGCATCCAGACAGGAGGTCAGGGAGATGTCAGGTCTCAGTGGCTCCTGTGACCAGGCTGTAAACATGAGGAGTCTCCATTCAGGTGTCTGCTGCTGCCTGAAGAGGAAAGAGGACATTGACAGTGTTGAGTTCCCCCATCCCTGGAGAAATGAGAACTGAATTTGGGTTTTCTGAGGCCTGAATTCGAACCACCCACAGCCAAAGGGCTCAACTCTCATCTTCCCTGAAGGCATCTACACCTCACACTCGGGAGCTCCTTCAACTTCTGCTCCTCAGGCTGGACCAGCTGCGGTGTGTTTCTGTTCAGGAGAGGCTGTTTTGGCTCATTCTGGACCTTGTCCTTCGGGCCTGCAGTGCCCACACCTCACGCAGGAGAAACGGCTCACGGCACACAGCCAAGCTCAGTGCCACGAGTGTCCCTTGGGGTGCCATGGGGACCAGGGTGCTGCTCAGCTGCAGCACGACCTGAGGGGACAGAACCTGGCACCAGGCAGAGCGTGCCACGGGCCCCACGAGCTCCCTTCCTCGCAGGTGTGGGATGAGACCGTCCCTGGGGGCTCTCAGGATTCCCTGTGCTGCAGAGAAAAAAAGGGGGCACTGCGCTGCACCCACACCGGGTCCTACCTCGCCTCCAGCATGCCGTGCCCTGCAGCAAGCTGTGTTTTTGCCGGGATCCTCTTTCAGGAGAACAGCACCTTCATGGCCACGCTGTTCCCTCTGCTGTCCTCTCCTCAGGCTCGGCTCCAGGCCACTCCATCCCTCTCCAGCTCACTGCTTGCTGCTGCTGCTTTAAAGGACACACATCTATCAGGCTCTTCCATTAATAAATGACTGGACTGATCTCATGCACAGACGGAAAGACTGGAAAAGTTTAGCTTCTACAAGTCATGAAAAATTAAAGGGAGATTATAAAATAACCAGCGAATTCTTTTAACTGAGCTAGACATTTTCCCGTCAGTCCCGCGGTTCGGAGCCATCGCTTCTGCAGAGCTGCTGCCTGCATTGGCAGGCCTGGGGCGTTTGGACAAGGTGAAAAGCCTGGAGGATCCCAGCTCCGGGCTCAAAGGGATGTGTGTGGCCCATTGTGTGGTTTGATTAATGAAGCCTTTGCACAGCGAGATAATGCCGTGTTTGCCGTGCCGGGGACGCTGCTGCGCAGCACAAATATCACAGCTACGAGGAATATTCGACACGATAACAACAGCAACGAGCCCATCTATGTACGACTGGATTCCGCCCAAAAACGCCTCAAATGATA